TTCACCTTCCCCCTCCTGCTCTTTCTTCCTGCCTGTGGAGCTCAGAGGTGGAGGCGGGCGCCTGCGAGGAGGGATTTCCATCTTGCTCTCGAAGTGGGTCTGGATGTGCTCAGTGGTATCGCCCCCGCCGAGCTGCCAGTGCAGAAGGCCGCTGCTGAACTCCTGCACCCGCCCCAGCTGGTCAGAGCGGTCAACCACAAACAGGTTGTTCTTCTTGACGATCTTGATTGGCAGCTTGTCAAACTTACTGGCTTGCTTGGGCTTCTCCTTTGGATCTGCAGAGGCATCAGGGGCGGTGGGAGCACTAGAGCTCTTGTCATCGGCCTCGGGCTTCTCACTGTCATCCTCCTCCTCCTCCTCGTCATCCTCCTCCTCCTCCCCACACTCAGCATCATCTTCTTTCCCGGAATCGTCTGCCAAGGACTGGCTGTCATCTTTCTTCACTGCATTGTGGTCAAGTGCTTTATGGCTGGGGGGTCCCCCTTCGTATTCCATAAGAATTCCAAAAATGTCAATCAGGCATTTTCTAAAGTACTCTACTAGAAGTTCTAGAAAGCCAGACAGCTGGAAGGAGGAGGAGGGGAAGAGAGAACAAGAATAGCACAGCGTCATGACATCAGGTATGACCGAGCAGGAGCGACACCCGCGAGCTTGCTAGCTTTTCTGTGGCCCTCTACATACCGCTACCCCTCCCGGGCTGGGCAGCGAAAGGTAAACCACACATGTTTATTTCACTTCCTAGTTCCTCTATGGCCTGAACCAACACTGCACACATTTTTCATTTGCTGCCTGCTTTCTCCCACTGCCAACACAGAAACTTACTTTCCATTTTCCCATTTCCAACATTATCAACCAAGGAGAGGTTTGCTCCTCTTTACCTTTTTTTTTTTTTCTGATTTAGATATAATGCATTCATTATTAGAAGAGTGAGACTATAGATTTCATAGACTCTTCTGCCCAGAGTGACTCAGTTTTCTTGTATTATTTATCTGAGACTTGTTTGCTGGGATTTTTATGGTAATCATTCTTGGGACTTTATGATTATTTTTGTCTCAGGTGCCAGAGGTTACCCTGATTTATCTTTTCTATCTATCTTTCAGAGAAGATAATTTCAGCAATGTAGTAGCTCGTAAACACTGAAAATTAAAAACAAATCAATTTAGTCCCTGATCGATGAGTTAGAATAAAATGCAATTTTACATTTCAGTTATTCACAACTGCCTGGAAGACCAAAGCTCCTGCGAGGGAGCCGCTGCCTACGAGAACACGCTTTGCTTCCTCTGAGCAAAGGCTCGTGGTAAGACCCCTCTACACACGCCACGAGCAGTAGCCGCCCTCCCCCAACACACACACGCCGCAGCCAGGGACCATGAAGGAGGAGAACGCGACACAAAGGACCCTGTGGTCGTGGCTATTACAGAGGCCAGCCACACTCTCACAGCCTGCGTCGTGTCTGGAAAGCGAATCCGAGTGATTATTAAGTGAGGGGGAACGAAGCGTCAACTACATAGTACTTGCTTTAAGGGGACTGGTGGGCGATTTTTCAAGTAGAAATATGGACGATTTTCCCTCACCCTTGAAGTTTGCTTTTTTCCCTCAAGGAAAAGGAAACGTTAAGAAAGCAATTCTGGTTACGGAAATGTGTGATCAATAACCAGTCACCTAATAGGAAGATAAAATGTGGCGGAAGCAGTGTGACTCTCTGTAATGTTTACTTTCTCTTAAAACAGACCCACGTTCATGTTTATACTCTGAGGATGTTGCAGTACTTTTGTCTCAGGTGGTAGAGGTTACCCTAATTTACCACCTCTGTCTTCTGGAGAAGATCATTTCAGCAACATAGCTCATAAACACTAAATATTAAAAACAAATCCATTTAGTCCCTGATCAATGAGTTAGAATGTTTCATAAAATGCAATTTTGCATTTCAGTAACTTACAACTAGTTGGGAAACTAATGTCATGGTGAGAGAGCCACTGCCTAGGAACGTTTATGAGCTTATTAATACACTTTCTCTCAGCTGAAAGATGGTCTTTCTGAACTCAACTGAGTACTTAAATGAGAGAGGAAAAAGGAGGTAGAGGATTCTGGTCTTAAGTTTGACAAAAGCTATAGGAAATTAGATATTTTCACCTTTTTCACTGAAAGTGGAGTTTGTATCTCATCGGGAAAATAACCTTTTCTCATTTTTGCTTCTATTTTTTTAAAAGCCTTTAGGGTGGCTGACTCTCAAGCCTTTTCCCCAAACCTGAGTTCTCTTTCTCTCTTCCAGCTGTTATGCTAGAAGCTACTTTAAGCCACACTCCAAACAAAGGAGTTTTAAGCTCATTAAAAGTAATAGGCTTTAAAGGGGCAGGGACAGAAAGGAGTAGACGAGACACAGTGAGTTCGTTACGATTTTAGCGGAATGATGCTGCATGGGGGTTTAGTAAACTGTTCCCCTGACTCCTATATATCCTATACATTTTCGGTAACAAAAAATGTCTTTAATTTAAAATTCTTTTTAATTGAAAGAGAAACATGTTAAGCCCCCCTAAGAACCCCACTGGAACTGTGTTTCCCAGGCTGACTAAAGCCATAACTCCATGCGACAGTGTGATGCTTGCTAATATACCTTGTAAACAACATTTCAACATTAATACTTTCATCTCTTCCACACACAGACTGTTTCCTTATGAGGAACCCAGGTGTGTGTGTGTGTGTGTGTGTGTAGATTATTAGAAATGCTATCCCTCACTAAATTCTCAACTATACGTTGATTAATATTGGCTTATAACAACCATATGACTAGCCAGTGCTGACTACCAAAGACATCAGGCACTACTTAGCTTTCTAAGACCCTGACTCGGTCCCTAGACGAGCGGGTGCAGGCTTACCTGGGAGAGATTGAAAGTAGCAACAGTGCTGTCGTCGTAGAGGAGGATATTAATAGTGTCCAAAGCCCAAGTACTTTCAGCCAAAAGCCCTGATTTAAGAGACATCATCACACGCCATGCCTCAGGAGTAACTAGAAATGGGAAAGAACAGGCATATCAATAACAGGAACTTAACGCATGAAAGAAAATAGGGGGAAAAAGAAAAAAGAAAAAGGAAAACAGAGGTAGAGTGCTGAGTTAAATGTTGGCTTTGTTTGTTATTTTTTCATTTATCTTTTCAGAGAGATTTTTCCTATCGGGCACGTGCGCTTGCTAGAGAGACAGACAGCGAGCAATGCCTCCCCAAGTGGAGATGGCCATGCCACAATCCCTTCTCCTCCATTCTCCTCTTGGAATTTTGGGCATGCACGCATATGCACTCAGTGTGTTTCAAGCCACTGGATCCAGGACTCAAACTGTGGTTGGCCATGTGGGAGTCTAGCACCTTAACCACTACGCTACCTGCTGGCCCTTAAAATGTTGGTTTTAAACAAATGCTTGGCAGGACAGTGGCTGTGGTCATTTTCAGATTTGAAAAGGAGGTAATAAGCCAAACTCGGAAACCTCCGTGGTCTAAGATCTTTCTGCTTTGTTGGTTACACATGAGCCCCTAGTGCTTCTGGAGGGGGTGTGGTGAGGCCTATGCAGGCATGCTTCCTCATCTCATCTCCGGGTCACTTCCCCCTGCCCCCGCCCCAGCAAGTCCGTAAGGGTGGCAGTGTCTGTAAGAACAGAGTCAAATTGAAAGGAGTACTGCTCTGCTCTGCCTCCTCCGCTCTCGAGTCTCGAGGTGGCATCTTAGGAAGGCTACCAGGTGTGTCGAATATAAAAGCAAAACTTAATTCCAAAATAGCGCAATCTCAAACACAAAGTCTTGATTTTCTCATGCTGTGTTCTTCTATTTCTGCGCCCCTGCCCTCAGTACATGCTGTTGACAAATACGAGCACTCTGACGGTGACAGTTCGATTCTCAAGAGCACGGTCTGACTGCTCCTTATCGACCACGCTACCTGCTGGCCCCTAAAATGTTGGTTTTAAACAAATGCTTGGCAGGACAGTGGCTGTGGTCATTTTCAGATTTGAAAAGGAGGTAATAAGCCAAACTCGGAAACCTCCGTGGTCTAAGATCTTTCTGCTTTGTTGGTTACACATGAGCCCCTAGTGCTTCTGGAGGGGGTGTGGTGAGGCCTATGCAGGCATGCTTCCTCATCTCATCTCCGGGTCACTTCCCCCTGCCCCCGCCCCAGCAAGTCCGTAAGGGTGGCAGTGTCTGTAAGAACAGAGTCAAATTGAAAGGAGTACTGCTCTGCTCTGCCTCCTCCGCTCTCGAGTCTCGAGGTGGCATCTTAGGAAGGCTACCAGGTGTGTCGAATATAAAAGCAAAACTTAATTCCAAAATAGCGCAATCTCAAACACAAAGTCTTGATTTTCTCATGCTGTGTTCTTCTATTTCTGCGCCCCTGCCCTCAGTACATGCTGTTGACAAATACGAGCACTCTGACGGTGACAGTTCGATTCTCAAGAGCACGGTCTGAGCCAAGGAAGGGGGTAGAAGGGCTGTATTTTTTGTCATTTCCCTATTTCTGTTACTGAAGAAAACGAAAAGATTACATAAGAAGTCCCTCGGACTTTCCCTAGATGGGCGAGGACAGGAAACTCATTATGTATCAGAGTTTTCAGTGGAAGCTGTGCAGAAAGCCCAGCGGCAGCGCACAGCTGAGTTCCAGAGGGCCGACAGACCTGCCCACCAGACTTGCACCAGCAACAGTCCCTGGGCCACGGGGAGCTCACGGGAGCGAGGGAACCCTGATGTGCAGAGGGCACTGGGGCTATTCCACCTTTATTTAATTTGATCCATTCTTCAGTTTTTCTAAGGTAGGCACATATTACTTTTATAAAAGAAAACTCAATGGGGCCGGCTGGTGGCGTGGTGTTTAAGGGCACTGGACTCCCACATGGCCGACTGCATTTCAAGTCCCGGACCTGGTAGTTTGCTTTCTCACTCTCCATCCCCCTGTCTCTCACTCTGGTTGAACTTAAATAAGTAAATAAATCTATTTTTTTTTTTGAGAGGTTTTTGCTATAGGGCGCGTGTGCTCGCCAGACAGAGAGAGACAGAGAGACAGAAAGAGAGAAATCACCCCCCAGGGAGGATGGCCACGCCGCAATCCCTTCTCCTCCATTCTCCTCTCGGGATCTTGGGCATGCACACACGCACATGCGCCCAGCGTGAATTTAAGCCACTGGGTCCAGGACTTGAACCGCGGTCAACTACATGGGAGTCCAGTAACATAGCCATTACGCTAACTGCTGGTCCCATAAATCTTTTTTTTTTTTTTAAACAAAACACAACAACAACAAAAACAACCACAACAAAAAAAACCACAACCCCCTCAAACTTTCTCCTTAAAGAAAGTTTGACTCTGTGGCCCAGTGGTTACGGTAGGCAATCCTACATGGTGATCTTGCAGTGTGAGTCTTGGACCTGGCGGCTTGGGAAACACACTGGCATGTGTGTGCACATGCCCAGAATTCTGATAGGGGGGGATTACAGCAAGGCCATACCCTGGGGGGGAAGCTTTATTTAAAAATATTTTTAAAAAGGGGCCAACAGGTGGTGTGCTGGTTAAGGCAAGGGACCTCCATAAGGCTGACCACAGTTCGCGTCCAGACATGGAGGCTTGAAACTCATGATGGATGTATGTGCTTGTGCACCAAAATCCCAGGAAAATGGACAAGGGATTGCAGTGTGGCCATTCCCCTTCTGGGGTGGGCGCAGGGGTGATTTCTTGCTTTCTCTCTTTGGTGAGTGCATATGCCCTAGAACAAAAAATCTCTAAAAGAAATTCAAAATTAAAAAATTATAACAATAAAAAAGGGAACATAAATTTCCCTTGGTTGAACACAAATACTGGCATACCTGCATTAAGACATTAAAAAAGTTTGAATATATTTAAACATGTATGTACACATGTAAACACACAAATGCATATGTGCATATATATTCCTATTCTTAAAATATGCTTAGTGTTTCACCCATTCATAAAAGACTCATTTTCTCTCTTTATATACACCTTCTTAATATCCAATGACTAAAAACATTTTTCAAATCATTAATATCTAATTTTCTAATGAAGACAAATGATTTTTTAAATTTGCTATAGGGTATGTTTACTTGTTGGAGAGAGACAGAGACAGAGAGAGGGAAAATGAGAAAGTGCCCTGACCTGGGATGACCATGCTACAGTTCCCTCTCCTCCGCTTAATCCTTTTGGGATTTTGGGCATGCATGTACATGCGCCTGGTGTGTTTGTCAAGCCCTCGGGTTTGAGATTTGAACCATGCAGTTGACCATGTGGGATCCAGCCTTAACCACCAAACTTTTGCAAGATAAATGATTTCAAGTCGTGTTTTTAGAATTGTTTTTATATGCAACCAGGATCTATGATTTGCTTTGCTGTGTTAAAAGCATTTTAAAAGTAACGCAGAAACACTGGGGAACTCCCAGACTTCGCGATCTCTAATCCGTAAAGAAAAACAAGCACCAGCACTGAAATGAAGCACGTCTCTGGTGCCTTCTCCCAGCGCTGTGCGGGCTCCTTCCCTTGTCCAGGTCGCAGCCCACGGCGTATCGCCCATCTCGCTCTGTCTGCAGGCGGCTGCGTTCTACTAGGAAACGCACCGTCTGCTGTTACCCAATTACAGGGTGGCTTGCCTTCAAATGTCCTCAGGCCCCTTCTGGCATTTCATTAGCCTCACGGTGGGTCTGGTAAGCACATACTGCAGAGGTTAAGTGGCTTGGTTAAGGTCACAGCTTTAAACTCAAAAGGTACTTTATAATCACTGAGGATTCCTCGGGATCTCTTACAAATATTCTCAAGTCAAAATGCCCTACTTTCATTCCGCCTCTACCTTGGCACTGTTTCTTAAAGCAGATCGGTAGTTTCTAACTCCTGCTCCTACATAAAAACCATTTATAATCCTAAGGACGCCATCCCTTTGAGAGCAACAGCAACTCCACCAAACCGAGATTGCAAGTTCCAGTTGCAATCCGAGATTGCAGATCCTAGACGCAATCCGAGTGCACTTCAGGAACACGACCCAGGAATCCTTACCGATATCTTTTGAGGTAATCTTTCGCCTTTGCTTCAAGACTGGCTGTGATGCTTCTACTGAGCCAGGAGGAAAGGTGATCTCCCTCCGGATTGGGGGTGGCTGGGGGGGTGGCCCAGTGACTTGGGACGTGGGGACTGTGGGCATGACCTTCTGCATCTTCATGGAGGGCAGGAAGGGGGACTTGCTGGGTGACATGCGGTTCTCCAGGGAGCGCTGGAAGGAGGCCGGGCTGGGCGCCCTGGAGATGTGGTTTGGCAGTGACGGTGGCGTCTGGTAGGATGACTGTGGCGGGCGCGTGATGGGCTGCATGGAGGCTGAAGAGGACATGTAAGGCTGACGTTGGCTGACGTGAGAAGGCCACTGGCTCTCGTGATTTATCCTTTGATCAGGTACCATCATCTCATCCGTGCGGTTCATGCCTGGATAAGGAGGTGCCTGTGCGGGGCCGCCTGGGCCCTGCCTGTTCGGGTAGGGATAAGGCATATCATTGCGTGTCGCCCACATATTCTGCTGAGGCCCCTCGCTGGAGGACGACTGCATCGGGCCCCCCATCATCTGTGGCGGGATTCCGTGCGGCTGCATCTGTGCCGGGCCCTGCATCCTCTCTCTGCTGTAGGGGTACGGGTACTGGCCCTGCATGGGCCTCCTGTCCGGGCCCGAGTACGAGCCCCCGTACTGGTTGTACACCTCCTGCTGCTGGCTGCCATACTGCATGCTGTACACGTCCCCCTCGTGGCGCTTGGCTGGGGGCCCGTACATGCCGTCCATGTGGCGCTTGTAATTCTGAAAGGCACAGAAAGCAAATCAGCCCACGTGCTCCTGGAGGAAGAGTCACACACACCTCTTTATGCTAAACAGGCACTACCTGGTGGAATGTTCACGTTGAAAAGGGTGTGGGAAGCTCCGTAACAACTGAGACTAACCAGTTATGTACTTTGCTGGGGTCTTGTGTAACCCCAGACCGTGCACTCTGAAGGGGGCTCCTGATTTTTTTTCATGTGCCTGAGACTTTCTGGGGGTGGGGGGCGGTAAAAGGTCTCTCCTCCTTTGACTGCAAGACAGGATGGTGACCACCACCCAGGTAGACCCAGACAGGGGCTGTCACCGAGGTGATATGAGAAGTGGAAGGACCCACCTCACGGGAAAGGACTAAGGATTCTAGGGTCCAATGTACCCGAGTTGGATCGCCTTCTCAGATTTTGCTTTACAGAAAAGCCCCCTAACAGAATCGGCTCCTCACACTGGTCCCGTGTCCCCTGCCACCCATCCTGTGACTCTCACTGTGACTGGCAGCTGGTGGTCGGTTTCCCCCATGAAAGCCCCGCTGGTCCTGCCCGCTGAGGACCTGCTACTGCGCTCTCCTCCTGTGGAACCCCAGGGTCAGTGCCTAACTGGGGTGGGCGAGAACCTCCTGATGGGAAGCCGTGAAGTGCTGATGGGTTAACTAGTCTTCCTTAACCTACTTGAAGACGGTTAAGATCAGTTGGTTTATTAACACAATTCACTGTACAAATACACTCCAGCAAATTGCATAAATGTTTAAAAGTTATTGGGTTTCCAGAAAAACCATGACATATTTTTGTATTAAAAAACAGAAAATATGTCATGACTTTGCCGACGACCCGATATTTTGTGGTTAAAGAGTATTTAAAGAAAACAAAACTCTGTTGTGTGAGAGGCCTCAGACCTGCAAGGTTGTTTAGGAATGGAAACGTGCTCTACGTGGGGAACTCACACGGCGATGGGCAGCTCTCTGCTCGCTGGGCACCCGTGCCGACAGCCGTGCGGGACCGTACACGGTGCTTACCTCGGCGGCAAGGGCTGCCAGGGAGCCAGCAGAGACGGTCCGACTCGTCCCAAACACGTGGTCGCTAGTACGTATTTCTAAAACTCCAACTTTCATCCTTAGTCCATAATTTAAGTTGCTTTTTCTACATATTTTTTCCAAAACACTGACATACTTCTGTTCTAAAGTGGCTTTCAACAGAACAGTGGCCGTAATAGACACATGTTTAAATACACTCAACTCTGACTGGGGTTTGTCGCCGCGCACGAGGACGCGTGGGCTTCACTGCTTATGCGCATCGTATTTCCTTCAGAACGCCCTACATCAAGAGCTATTTTTAATCTGCTGGCTTGGCACTCCCAGGAGTACTTTCTAGCACAAAATGCATCTTGAGTGTTCAGTAAACGCTCACCACTTTTGTGACAAGAGGAATACACGTTGGAGTTTCAGCCTCCAGGAGAGAAAACAGTGAACACAGAGATCCACGCCTACTCGCCAACTCACCGGCTGCTGTGGGTACAGGCCAGGCTGGTGTCCTCCATATGGTGGCTGTCCTGAGGGAGGGCCTTGGCCTGGATACTGCTGCCCATAAGGTTCGTGCCTGGAATGAGGCATTCAGAGAGAACTTCATTTACTAAGGACGTCGGGCGACAGAGGAGCACTCGGTCCGTTCCTGGAAACTCCTGGGCCCGGGCGGCTCTGTCTGCCCTCCTGGCAGAGGCGCCCTGAACAGCAGCTACACTTGAACTCTCTGCACGAGGGGTGGGAACACCGCCTCGGAATGGGGCCAAGCTCCCGGGCAGGGCTGCTGGCTAATAGGTGTCACAGAATACCGGTCGAGCAGGCAGGAGCCCTGCGAGCACCTGCCCAAGCCTCTGGCCTCTGCCTTTGAGGTGCAGCCCCGCCCGTTCCTGAGGTCATGTGGCTGGCGAGGGGAGGCGTCCAGGGGGGCAGGAGAGACACCGAGGATCCTGCATCCCACCAGAGGCAGCACCAGAACGTGAGGCCTATTTCTACTGCTCACCTCATTCTGAATATAAAAGTGTTATGTCTTTTAATTAATTAATCCAAATGACACCGAGTTGGCTACTTAACTCTGAACACACAAGTATCCTCAACTTCAGTTTTATACCCTGGGAGGCTACAGAAACGAACGGCAGGATGGATTTAAATGTATTCCTACTGAGTCTTAAAAAAGAAGGATACACTTATTTTTCAACTGCTACCATATCAAGAAATTATAAAATCATAAAAACAGCATATTTTAAAGGGCAACAGATTGGAATTTTGAAAATAAATCAGTTGAAGTTAGTATATTCAATCTTCTAAGAAAGAGGATGACTGCACCGCTTATGTTTCTAAGTTGAAGAAGGGATGAGAATAAGAAAATGTAAAAAGTCAGTGATTAAATGCAAAAAAAAAAAGAAAATAAATAAATTAACTAATTTAATAAAAAAGAGAGAAGGAAATTCACACACACACACACAGAATGCGTGGACTGTCACGTGTCAGAGGGGAGGTTTAGTTAACTACTCTGACGCCTGGGAGGAAGCTTAGGGTAAAGAGGGAAGAAACATAACTGGCATGGGTAAAATTTAAGCAGTGTAACATTTTTCAGAAAAAATAAAAAACTTAACAAACAGGTAGAGGTGGTAGAGCTAAGCTAACTTTTACGTCTGGGCTGCACAAGGTCCTAGAAGAAACAGGGAAAGTTTCTGTTTGGGTTCCTTTAAGAATATAGGCCCAGTATGACTATTCTAATGCCACTGGCAAACAAACAAAACCAGCAACAAGCCAAAATACAAAACCCAAACCCATAGCTTTTCCTAGGCCCTCAAAAACAGAACTAACCTAACTGATGCCCTCAGTCCAGCACCAGGAAACCCTTGTGGTGGGTAACTAATGCAGAGTCGCCATAGTGCCACCAGGGTGAAGAGAGCAGAATGGATGCTGCAGTCGCTGTGAGAAATGCCAGGTCACCCTGAGGAGATGGCCGTGCACTCCCGAGGACCAGGCTCCCAGGAAGGCAGAATGAGAGCCTTCCTGGCAAAACGGTCATTTTTCAAACTCTGCCCATCGCCCCTGGAAGTAGACTAAAGAACCCTCCATTGGCTTAGCCTTCCCTGCCACCCCGGCACGTGGACAGATGGAAGGAGAGAGCCCTGACCCAGGGGCCCCTGAGGGAAGCCAGCACTGCCCCGAGGCACGCCGGCATGGCTGCAGCTAGAGAAAGGTCTTCTACTGTGTCTGTTTCTGGTCTTCCCTTTAAAAATCAAAAATAATATTCTAAAGTGTTGCTTCTAAGCATTGCTCTCATTAGGAAGGTGGAGAAGCAAGGAGAGGGGCTTGGTAAGACGGAGGCTTGGTGAGAGGCCTTCTTCACAGCGAGAGGCCCGACTCGAAGCCACCATGTGGAAGCAGCTTTGGATGACCTCACAGGGACACTTCAGAAGCTTTCATGCTGCCTGGGGTGTGGGGGGGAGGTGCTGGGTCCCACATGGACGACTGTGGTTTGAGTCCTGGACCCACAGGCTTGAAAAATCATGCCGTGTGTGTGTCCAAAATCCTGAGAGGAGATTGGAGAAGAGGGAACTGCAGTGTGGTCACCTCCCCTGGGGGTGATTTCTCACTTTCTCACCCCTCTCTCTAGTTAGCAAAAACAAAACAGAAAAACAAGAACGAACAAGTCAACCTGGATGGGTCCGTAACCTAAGTGGCCTTCCTAGTGTCGGACAGCTTCCCCAGGATAGGCTTCCATGAGGCCCTTCGGTAGCCTGTCTCTGATGTTTCTCCAGGATCAAGGCACCCTCTCCTCACAGCGGAGAGTGGATACACCTAGCAAAGCTATGCTTGGAAGACCTCTCCAGGAGGTGGCTGCACCAACCCCAACGTTTCCTTGAGTCGGAAATGCAGGAGAAAGGAAGAAAGGAGTACGGAGGCTCCGAGAACAGCTGCATCTGAGTCCACAGCTGGGCAGCCTCAGGGTGGTGACAGTGACTGCCTCACAGAAGACATGGATGCTGGGTGGACCAACGTCCCTTGGGGTGGCCCCAGCTCTTGAGTCCTTAGGGAGAAGACTCTTGTCACGGCCAGAGCAGAGTCACTCTTACTTATCCAATGCATGCTTCTGGGCAAGTGCTCACACGTACACAGCTGCACCGGGCGGGGGGATGAGGCTCTACTGAAGAGGCCACCGACACTCGCCTGGTGGTCAGCAGCTACCGCCTCCTCACTTATGCCAGCGAGAGGGTAGACGCTGTGTGCTGTGGTCAGGGTTCAGCTCCCTGGGCTGAGAAGTGTGTGCATGAGGAGAGCGGCCTCTTACCTGCATCCTAGAAATACTCACCTTCGATCGTAACTGGCTCCGTAAGGAAACTGCGGCCGCTGCCCCATGCCCAGGTTGGACATGGCTCCAGAGGGACTTTGGTTATACACGTCCTGCATGCTGCTGTTGGGCATCTGTCCTTGCGTCATAAAGGGTTCGCTACTCCCAGGCACTGCGGGGTTTCAAACCAAGGCACAAAAGTGAGTGTCGGCCGAGTCAGGGGGCCCATCCCCCGCAGTAATTTCTGCCGCTGGGGTGTCCATCTCACCCTCATCCGGCTGACCACGGCACTAAGCAGAGGACCCCCACCCCACCCTGGTGTGCACTGGGCGAGCCCCGCCCCTTAAGTGTGGGCAGGGTTTGTGGGGTGAAGGGGTCACACTTCCATGATCACAGCATGCTCTATGGCAAAAGGACCGCCCAGGTGCCATAGAAGTTACAGAGTTCCCAAACGGCAGGGTGTCCAGGCAGCCCTCTAAGGTCAGGCCCAAGGTGGCCCCTAATGCAGTGGTCAAGCCCTGTGCATGCAGAGCAGAGCCCACACTGCTGCCACGGCTTCAGACCTGGACCCAGAAAAACATGTCGCGGGTGTGTGAATGTGTACCCAGGATCCAACAGAATGGAGAGAGAGAAAGGAAAAAGGATTCTAGGGTGACATGCCCCATTGAGGTTCTCTCTCTCTCTGATGGGCATATATGTCCTCTAGCAATTAATTTAAAAATTCATTAATTTGGTCTGGCAGCTCGAGTCTCCTCCTGGCCTTGGAGAAGCCACTGCCGTGCTGTGCCATGTGTAAGTGAGGGAACGGGATGGAGGACAGTCAACCAGAGACACGGGCCCACCCTACAGCTGCAAGGGGCTGCTTTCTGCCAATGACCTGGCCGCGTACTCCCCACCCACAATACTAAGGGAGCAATGCTGAGGTCTGGCCAAGACCCACAACCTGCTTGAGTCAGTCCTAACTCCTGAGTCGGACTCTGTCTACAAAGTGAGGTGGGCAATGCCACGAACGATGGGGCTGTCATCAGGCACACAGTCAGTCCCTCCCCCTATGAGAAAGAAACGGAAGCCCAGCACAAGCACTCACCCAAACCAGGATAGAGAAAATTACGAGGGAGTCAAGAATAGCTCAGGGTGGGAAAGGTACGACTATTTCTAACCAAGGACAGAGTCCCAATTAGGTCATATATGCGAATCGACCTCAGCTCAGAGCCTGAAGGAAACTGGGTCAAGTCCAAACACTAGCCTGAAGGCAAATTAAACATTTTAATACAAATTTTAATTGATATACAGTACAGCCACCTTTCTTCATCCTTTTATGTTATGTGAGGCAAAAAAGCTGATTAAATCTTGTGAGCTGACATATTTTTCTAAGGCTGGTGGAGAGGCACAAATACTGGTAAGATCCATTTCACTTTGTAATGTTGTTCTCACCCTTTCTATCTATGTGGGTTTACATCAACCTGTAGTAGAACCAGTTCTGAGGGTACCTACTGTCTTGCAGAGACAAAACACAGAGGCAGAAACCAAGCAGTATAATTAAACAGCATAATGCCCCAATACACAAAGAGTTCTTGAAAATTAACAGGGGAGAAGACGACCAAGTTAAAAATGGGCAGACATATGAATTCACAAAAGAAGAAAGATAAAGGTCCAATCAGCATATCAAAAGATATGTCAGTTCACTAATATTTAAAAACATTGATTGGGTCACCAGAAAAGTCATGGTGTATTTCTCTATGCAAACACGTGTCATGACTTTTCCAGTTACCAAGTAAGTTAAAACAATTATGAGGCCTTTTCTTCTGGCCAACCTGAATGGCAGGTGTAAAGACGAACAACGATCATTCTGAGAGTGGGTGAGACCCCACCCTCTGACGTGCTCCTGCTGAGAGCACGCGTGGGCACGACTTCTGCCAGGACTTGCTATGGGGGCTGCCCTTTGGCAACCCCCACTTAAAGCACATTCTCCAGCATCTGCAGTCTACGAAGGCCTCCCCGAAGGTGACTCTGCTTGGTCACAAGACTGGCACGTGATTCTGGCAATGGGACCTGCCAGAGGGTCTCGGTGCAGGTAACCGGCACTGGTCTTCCTTGAGTGAGCCGTCTTGGAAGCCATGGCCAGGCTGCAGGCACCCGGGAGGCAACATAGAAGAAGCGCCTCCAGAGACACCAGGCACCAAGGGACACCTGGCTCCCAGACGGCAGCAGCCACCTCAGTGCCCCGCCTGCCATGCACAGAGCAGAGGCCCACCTGTCCAGCATGGAGCCACAAGAGAACTCGGCGTGGCCGCTCACGGCCACGGAATCTGGGTCGTCCAGTACGCCTTCAAAGCTGCTCTCAGTAAACCAAATGAAGTTCGTATCCTTTGAGTCAACAGTTCTCCTTCCTGACCTCAAACTCAGAGAAACACTCGCACAAGTATGAAAGCTGCACTTGACAGTCACCGCCTCGCCTAACAGCCCATCCACCCCTGGGGGCGGAGGCTGTGCCCGTTCAAGGGGGGAGAGTAACAGGAGCTGTCTGCCGGCACCGAGGAGCTAGGAGCACACGCGTCTCATTACGCTGGAGGAGGCTAGCAGGAGGGGAAGGCGGCAGGTGAGCACAGGGCTCTGGACACTGGGCTCAGGGGGGCCCCTCTCTGACCACATGGCCATGCCACTGGGAGCGGCAACAGTGACAGAGAGCGAGCTTTCCACCCAGCTTGGTCATTAGGAAAAACCAGGGCAGCACCAAGTTCATGGACAGAAGCGGGCAAAGTGAAGAATGGGAAACTGTACTTAGGCTAGGAACAGGGCTATAAGATGTTCCCTATGGATTTTCTACTTATCTGCTTTATCTGGTTCTAGAAATGCCGGTGCTGCAAGGCAGCGGGCGAGCTGAATATACTAGGGACGTACTCGTCACGGACCATGCATGTGGCTGATGAAAACACACTTCACCTCTCTACCTGGGGCCCAGCAAGGTAATCCCATAATCATCACCTCCCAGATTTATTTGGTGCTAAGAAAAATGACAGGCCTGAGGAAACAAGAAAAATACAACCTGTGGTCTCATACCAGGGGTCTTTAAAAAGTGCATGAAATGGGGCCAGCAGGTGGCACAGTGTCTTAGTCCTAGACCTGGCAGCTTGAAACTCACGCTGGGCGCATGTGCATGTGTGCCCCAAATCCTAAGGAGCATGGAGAAGGACTGTGGCATGGTCATCTCTCCTAGGGGGTGACTTCTCACTTTAGCTCTCTGTTTGTCTCTCCAACAAGTGCATGTGCCCCTAAAGCAAAAATCTCTCTCTCAAAAAAAAAAAAAAAAAAGTGGTCATGAAATGTGCGTGTTCTCAAAAAACTATGCATGTACTTCAAGATATTCTGCACCAAAAAACTTGTACTATGATTCTAGTTTCTCACAAACGTTTTTAAGTCCCCTTGAATAGCACACAGGTAGGACACCGGACTGGTTCACAGTATCTTTTTAGGTCAGATTCCAAATACTATTATTTTTTCTATGTTACCATCATATTTTCAGAGTCTAGAAGTGAAAATCCTGGTACCAAAAGCACTAGGAAACTGTTCCACTCAGCACTGTACGCCACTAGGGAATCAGCTACCTCCTACGCTCACCGACCTTTTGAATTCCTTAGCTTACAGGTTTATTGAGTGCTCTGTAAAATCTTACTTGGAATAAGCAGCCCTGAAACTTTTGGATTCTTCTCTTGCAGTTCCCACTGGTCCCTAACGCTGTGGAAACCCAGGCCCTGGGCCGTAGGGGGCTGGAAGGGACACGGCTCTGCCCCAGCCTCAGTGTGGACTCCATCAAAGCCTGAGGAAAACCACCTGGTGCTTCTTAGTCACAGGACTCTCCTACGCCTTCACTCTCAAGGGCCCTGTCCACACAACTGTGGACGCCATTTCTACAGAACAGTGTCCCCACTCTGTGGACACACACGGAACCACGCTCCAAGCCCAGCCTCTGCTCAGCTCGACACCCACCCCACATAGCCCGTCTTTCCTGGCCGTCCACCTTGCAGGTGGAGACACCCATGCCCTCCCAGACACCGACACGGTTCTTCTCCCTGAGCCCCCACGTTCACTCCATGAGCACTTCAAATATCGGGTGACGGGGTCTCCTTCCTGTGGGGGCACTCCACTCTGACCTGCCGCCTTCATGAGGCACTCGGCTGCCAGATACACTTCCATAATGGCTGTCAGAGAAGTCACGATGCATTTCTTTCTGTTTTTCTAAGCCACCACGCATCATGACTTTCCTGGCGACCCAACAGTCTTAACTTCTCTGCATATTGACTTTTGCCTCGAGGAAAATCCAACTGGTCTTTGTAAGGGCCCGAAACAGCCCCTGCCGCTGGCTGCCCTCAGCCCTCAGTCCTCTGAGCGTCTCAGCCCTGCCCAGCCTCGCCTGCTCTTCCTCACTCTAGGCCTCAGTGGACACTCCCTTCCCGGCCCCCTCCCTGACCAAGCCACTCCTGTCCCTCCCAGGCCCCCCAGCCCCCACTCGTATCCTTTCTTCCTTTTCGTTTCCTTTCTTCTCCTGACCACAATCTTTGATTATTACCTGACTGGTTCCTCCTGAGAGTCTGCTAACTCCATGAAGGCAGGGACTGTGTCTGATTAACCAACACACTACCCAGCACCCAGCACCATGACCAGCTCTTGCTAATGTAACAAGGCCAATCCTGAAGCCGGCTAGAAGCAGAGCAGGCGCACTCACCCTGCTGCCAGGTGCTCTCCGGGGGCTTTGTGTGCATTGACCCAAGTTGCCCTCATCATGCCCTTGGAGCAGCTCCTATTGCTTCCCAAATTTCCAGGTGAGCAAAGTAAGCCACGATGTGGCTTTGAATACCTCAAGGCTACAGACCCAATAGGCTGGGAGCTGGGACTTGTGCCCCCGCGGCTGCACGCAAATACATTTGGGAAGAACAGGGAGCCAGTCAGGGATGAGTGGAGGCACACTCTCCAGGCCACACCAGTGCTTGAGTCCCTTGTGCATACCTTTTCTCATTCCACCGAAGGGGTCCTTGTTGGGTTCGTAGGGCATCCTGCCCATCATGTCCGGCATGCCCATGCCCTGCTGGTAGGGGGTGTTCGGAGTCATGGAGTTGCGTTTGGGGAATGACGAATCACTCACGTCTGAGAATGGGTCGTGCACGCTGATTGTACTGCTTCTGAAGACAGGTGAGATACCAAAGTTTAATGACAGGGCAAGAATGACCTCCAAATACTGTATACAAAAAACAAGCCACCCTGGAGGCCTGTAACTGCAAAAACCATCCGACATGGGGCCAGCAGGTGGCATGGTGGTTAAGGGTGCTGAACTCCCATGTGGCTGACTACATTTCAAGTTCCTGACTGGGTGACTTGCTTTCTCTCCCTCCCCTTCACCCCCTGTCCCTCTCTGGTCAAATTAAAATAAATAAATAAATAAATATTAAATCAAATAATTCTTAAAAATGAACAATGGGGCCAGCAGGTGGTGTGGTGGTTAAAGGTGCTGGACTCCCACATGGCTGACCATGGTTGAAGTCCCAGACCTGGTAGCTTGCTTTCTCCCTTTCTCCCTCTCTCTCTGGTCAAAGTGGAAAATAATAAAGATAAATAAAATTAAATAAAATAATTCTTAAAACAAACCCACCGACAACCATGAACGAAAACAAGTAGTAACAGAGAGTTACAAGCTCTCTAGGGAGACCATTTCTCTTCTCTATGAAGTTGCCTCCGGAAGACTGAAAGATGAGCGGACATGGTTTTGTCCGGTTTTCCACCTACCTTCCACCTTGAATTGGGGTCACCTGTCCATGAGGGGTGGAGGCTGGGGTGGGTGGCTTCAGGTCACCTGGAACCTCTGCCATGGAGTTGCTGCCAGTTGACTGGGGTGTCTGTGGCCCTTGTAAGGATCCTGAGTTAGCTGAGAGCATAAAAATGAACAATGGGGCCAGCAGGTGGTGTGGTGGTTAAAGGTGCTGGACTCCCACATGGCTGACCATGGTTGAAGTCCCAGACCTGGTAGCTTGCTTTCTCCCTTTCTCCCTCTCTCTCTGGTCAAAGTGGAAAATAATAAAGATAAATAAAATTAAATAAAATAATTCTTAAAACAAACCCACCGACAACCATGAACGAAAACAAGTAGTAACAGAGAGTTACAAGCTCTCTAGGGAGACCATTTCTCTTCTCTATGAAGTTGCCTCCGGAAGACTGAAAGATGAGCGGACATGGTTTTGTCCGGTTTTCCACCTACCTTCCACCTTGAATTGGGGTCACCTGTCCATGAGGGGTGGAGGCTGGGGTGGGTGGCTTCAGGTCACCTGGAACCTCTGCCATGGAGTTGCTGCCAGTTGACTGGGGTGTCTGTGGCCCTTGTAAGGATCCTGAGTTAGCTGAGAGCAGAACCAGGGGAAAATGGGGAAAACCAGAGGTTACCAAGGAAGTGTCTCCTTGCCAATGACTAATGAAAGAAAACACGACACAACGTTATCAGCAACATCGCCCCCCACTGCCGACAGTGACGTAGTAAAATGCGTTACTCCCTTACTGCAGGGAAAATCAGTAAGACTTTTAAAAATGTGGACTGCTTGGCAACACCCTGCATTTGTAGGCCGGTTATACTTTACTGCATAACTGCTTCCCTGGGTATTTATCCCGAGAACATAATATAATAAAAAGAAGGCTTTAGGCAGAAAAATGTTTATTTCAGTGTTGTCTATACTAGAGATAATCTAAATGTAAATAAAGAAAAATGGGATGAAAGTTTTGGTCCGTCAATTTGATGGACTATTGCGCTTGGAAAACTTGGTTCTGGGTTTTAGGCCATGGGAGATAATTAATGTGAAAAGCAATGATTCTAATTGGTAAGTCTATGCCATTTCAGTCCTGTCTCACCACGTGCATGTGTTGATGTTCTGTCAGTGACAGTCATTTTTTGGAGCTCTGAGATCAGATTTGTTATTAAAAAGCTCATTATGCTGGTTTGGGGAGCGTGTGCGCGGTGAATTTTAGACAGCTCCACACATCACAGGCCTCCTGCTTGCTGGGATCAGGGGCGCCGCCATGCCAGGTTTTCTTAGGGTGGGCTGGGTCTGGTCTGGAGTTCTTTGATGTTACCGGAGTTCTGAAATGTGGCTTTTGTAATTACATTATAATAACAGAACTTAGAACTAAGCTGGTGTTTTCCAAATCTTAAGTAGGATTCCTTAAAAAAGCTAACCTTGCCTTGCTGGAGAAACAACAGTTTAAGGGTTCCAACTTGATCATTTACCATCGTCCTTAGCACGTTATTAGATACTCAACAGACACTGAATGGTCATATGCAAACAAATGCTTACCAATAAGTAATGTGTCTAGGCTACTTCTATGTCCAAAAAGTGCATCCCCGTATCCCGGACAAGCACAGCAGTCCTGCCCGTGTGCAGTGTGTGAAACATGGGCAGGGCAGGACTGCGGCCATGCATGGATGTGTTTTTGCTTACACTGCCTTTCCTATGACGTTCCCAAGACTCACTATTATGACCCTATTTACATTTCACTTTTAGAGAAAATAGAGAGTAAGAAACAAAACACTTGGGAGTAGGGCGAACTGCGAGGGCTCGGACGTTGAAATGAGCGTGTGCCTTTTATGCGGCATGCCCAGCTCAGCAGTGCAGTATGGGTGGGAGTGTGCTGATGAGCAGAGTGGGAACTGCAGGGCTGGCTGCCGGTGCAGATCCAGGTGGACCTCAAACCTCTGTGCACGAGTGTACCCAAGACCCTGGCTGCCTGGGAAGGGTCTGTCTCTCGGGTGTGCATTTGCACTTCCTCATTAAAGACATGCAACAGACAAACTTAAAAAGATGAAAGCAGGCTAGTGAGCCTCAGCTGACCGCAGGTTATGTCTGGCCAGGTGGGTCTGCCGAGCTCCTGGTGGGATGCACCCAACCACTGCAGAGCTGTGCATCCTGTGTCACATCCCGAACACTAAGTCGTCACATGCGGAGCAGATGTGACAGAGAACGTACCACTCTACCGGAAGGGCTGACTTTTAATTTAAGCTTTGGGAAAACTTGTTAACTCATGCTAACAAATCAAGTTCTGGTGAAACCCTGGAAATGTACTAACCAGGTGGATTGCAATGAAAGAAGAAAGCAGTCTTTCATAAATGCATGAGGTCAATCCTACAGACGCATCCACCCCCGCCCTCCCCCCTGCGCTGCTAATGGGAAATGAGTCCCATCTTTGGCCCAGGTACAGACACCACATAGCCTGGACAGCTTCGCTGGAAACACAGTCCCCAGGGGATGGTGGAATGACCTTATTTACAAGTATGCATTTACAGCTAATAAAGAGTAGAAAAGTGCTTCTGTCAGTGAAGCCAGTGTTTTTCCTTTTCAAAGAAAAAAAATGAATGCAACCTCTTGCAACTGCATGAATAGAGAAGGCTGCAGGCTCTCTAGGCTCTCCCTAGTCTTGCCAGAAGCTACGATGTATGCTCTAAAGTAAACAATGGAAAGGCCACCGAAGGTTAAGTACATCCGCACACTTCAGACGGCAGTCCGGCTCCTAGCTGGGGAGGTAATTTACACAGCACGATCTGGTGCCCTAGTTCTGGCGGGCACGCGGGAGCAGAGCCGGGAGACAGAAGCATGGCTGCTGTGTCCCAGGTCTGCAGTGTCTGGGGTCAGCCAGAGGGCACCTCTGTTTATAACCTGAGCCCCTTTCTCATTTATCTTCCACTGAGGATTCCCTGGTTGGATCTGTGACAGGTTTTGTGACATCACCTGTCAGCTAATAATAGAAATTCAGTCAGCCTCCTGCCAGCAAAGATGGATGGGGCTTTGGTTACAGACTTACTAATTGAATGTGGGCCTGCCCTGCCCTGCCCTGTGCCATCCACTCCTGGCCCCTCAGCTTCCAGGCTGCCCCCTCCACCTGGGGAGGTGGTCCCGAGCTGTTCATTAGATCCCCACAACCTGCTATAGGTTCATTCTCCCGAGATCCCCCTGGCACCTTAAAGATGCAAACCATACTCCCAGGTCTTGCCCAGGTTCCACACGGGAGCCTGCTGTCCCCAACCTGCTCTGGTGGCTGGCGGACAGGAACCTGGCTGACCCAGTCACTCCACAGGGAGCGCCCAGTGCAGCGCAGAGTCTGAGAAGGCATGCCTGCCTGGGTCTCAGTCCGTACAGGACATCAAAGGGAAACTGGGCCAAGACCGAGGACTTGGGACTGCACTAAGAATGTAGCCAAGGGATTCAGGAGGGTTGTAGGTGCATTAGAGTGAAGCTGAAAACAATCTAGAATGTTCCATAGGAATCCTTTAGTTTAGTTTGCCTGGACACGTTGGTAAGGAATAAACCACACTTATGTTCTTAGGGAAAAGGTGACTGACTTCGAATAAAATTTTTGCTGAAAATTAGTTTTTAAAAAGTGTGTGGTAAACGAGCCGGCCCCATTGTGCAGTGGGTAAGCCCTGTTGGCTGACCAGGATTCAAACCCCGGGTCAGGCGCGTGTGCATGTGTGCGCGGGATCCTGACGGGAAGGAGAAACAGAGGACAGAAGGGCTGTGGTGTGACCGCACTGCTCACACACACATGCACTCAGCTTCCGGCAATTAGAGAGAGAGACAGACAGACAGACAGACAGAGGCCTGGCTGAACCAGTCACTCAACACGGCAAAGAGCCGGGGATTTAATTTTCTTCTTTGACAATGAAAACATTTCAGAGACACTTTCCTTCGTGACAGAGGGACCACTGACTCAGTGGATGTTGCTGAGATGCGGCTTCTGGGAGACCGCGGCTCAGTCCCCCGGCCTGTGTGGCTGTGTCTGGTGCATTCTGTGTGGGGTTCTGGCTGGCTCCTGACTCAGGTCAAGACCGAGGCTCTGCCGCAACCATGTCCCATGTCACAGGGCCTCCGCTCCATCTGGGCCACTGGGAAGAATGTGCTTTCGACCATTCGGGCTCTCTTACACAGTTAAAATGATAATGATGCCACAAAAAATCGGCAGTTTTGAAAAAGAGGAAAAGGAAAGAAGCAACTAGGCAGGTCCCCCGTTCCTGGGGCTCTATGCCCCACGGGGCCTGGACTGCGGCGACGCACACTGGCGAGCGCTTACCGCGCACAGTGCAGCCTGCTCGGCGACACGAGTTCTTTCCTGGCTAATAAAACACACTCTCAGATCTTTGCAGACATCACGTCTTTGGTCCCTACACCCTACTGGGTTTTTATTTTGGAAAATGGCTTCAGAGCTATTCACAGGCGGTGCGGTTTACTCTGTGAGCTGAAGGTAATGCTGTGAGATCTTTAAAATCAGACTGCCCCGTTTTTATTTTTTTATTAGAGATTTTTGTTATAGGGGGCGTGTGCTTACCAGAGAGAGAGAAAAAGAGAACTCACCCCTCCCCCTCGGGGGAGATGGCTGTGCAGCAATCTCTTCTCCTCCATTCTATTCTTGGGATCTTGGGCACGCATGCACACGTGCCCGGCATAAGTTTTAAACCACCGGGTCTGGGGTTGACCATGGGGGAGTCCAGTGATATAACCATTATGCCATCTGCTGGTCCCCAGACTGCCCAGGTTTTAAGGTGCTTTCTGAATGGAGAAGGCTGTAAGTCTGTAAGGGTGGGCTGCAGGGGGCAGTGATGACTGGTACCTGAACCTGAGACCCAAAGCTAGGTATGCGCACTGTGAGTGTACTTCGGGCCGACAGAGTCTTGATATGAGCTCCCTGCACTGGCAATGGGGGCATTAACTTTGCCACCCAGCTGGTGGCTAGAGGAAACTACTGTAAGGCAAATGACTTCTCCCCTTGGGTCCTACGTGCCAGCATTGTGCCTGCTACAAAGGTACTACCAACACAGACGGTTCTGGTGGGCCCAGTACACACACATGAGAGCCAAGAGGCCGGCCTAGACTCTGTGCCCCAGCTACCGAGCTCCAGGAAAACACCTGGGATTCCACACACCTGCGTTTTCTCAAGGACCGGAAGATGGGGTCAGTAGCACGGGGCTGAGGTGAAGATGAAATGACAGGCACTGGGACAAACGTCTGGCACTCTGCAATGCCCTGGAACTGTGGGCTGCTTACTGTGCTCACAGCAAGCGTGTGCCAGTGTCCCATCCCATGAGCAGGAAGGGGCACAAAGCAACCACGTGCGGGGGGTCCACAGGCCTGCGAGAAGCTCTTGCGTATACCAGTGGTCCGAAACAGATGACGAGAATGGTCGGCTCTGAGTGAGGTCGCCAAGGCTGGTGCCCTTCCCTCCTGCCTCTCATACTGCATTTGACAGGGTTCTGCCTCGGACTTTGTAACTTCCAGTATGAAACCCTGACGGGCAGTGCAAAGCCAGTAGGAAAGCTGAGAAGCACAGTGGGCCTCTGACAGCTGGTTGGAGAGGCAGGAGAGAGGCTGGGTGCCATCACTGGGCTTTGCCTATCAGTGCTCAGGTAAACTCATCACACCTAGTCCCGCAAGTCCTGACCTCTAGGTCACGGCTGAACCACCACCATGGTAGGCCAGATGGTCCTTTACCGTGACGCTGGCTGGATTCTCCAAATGTGAGCATGGGCTGGACTGAGGGCATTAAAAAGCAAGTCCAAATTTCATTTCACCAATGGATAAGTCGGAGCATCCTCGACAGGGAGGCCTGGCACAGGGGTCAGACCGCAGGGTGGCACTTTCCAGAAGTACAAGGTATGATGACAGGTTATAGGGTGTTCGTTTTGTGCAGAGTTAGATGAGATGTTTCTAAATACTTGTGTATGGAACAAAGGCATATAGGTCAGAATTCCAAAGTCTATCTCAGCTAAATTAGTAAAGCAAAAGAATACTTTGACATAGGACCAGAGGATGGCACAAATGCTTATGTTGTTGGACTCCCATGTACTCGACCGTGGTTTGAGTCCTATACCTGGCATGACCATCCCCCTGGGGAGTGATTTCTCTCCTTCTGTCTGTCTGTCTCTGTCTCTACAGCAAGTGCACACACTCTATAGCAAAAATCTCTCTTAAATAAAAAAAAGAATAGTTCGACCAGCAATGGCAATATACCAAGTTTGATTGTTTCTTCCCTAAGCACTGCCAACAGGGGTTCGATGAAAAATAAACAAAATGAAACAAAAAGCCCAGCCTCTCCAGGACCCCAGGTCCTCCCTCTGTTCCAACAATACCTTCTCAGGACCTCCTGGCAGGGTTCTGCCCAACCTGCAGTGCCGGCACTTACCAGGAGAGGGCGGCTGGAGCTTGGGCTGCTTCTTGGCATCCCCGGTGCTGAAGACTTCTGGCGGGGGCTCCTCCCCTCGTTCGATCTTGCACTCGAAGGCAAACAGGTACTGGATATACTGCTTTTTTAGGGAGCTTGCTGCGCTGCTTGAAGTGCCAACATTTAGGTTGGTTGCCAGCTCACGCCACTTCTTGTTTTTATTAACCTATGGGAAAAAAAAGGTAGATCATTGGTTTGCAGCGAAGTGGCTTGTTTAAAGCCAGGAGACAAAAAAAAAAAAAGCACTTAATGTCTTGGTTTACTTTTTTCCATTTGCCCCTTTTAACTAATGCTCATTACTCCCACACAGCAGTGCACAGACAGCATTTACAGCTATAAAACCATTAGGGAACCTGCTGATAGCGACATAACAGCCTGGCTCGTGGGGGCTCTTCCGCCTGCTGCACCACCCGGTGCCTCGTGCCCTTCTGGGCTGGTGCTGCTCAGAGCCTGCGATTTCTCACAGGTGAATGTACACTCCTGCTCACCCCACCTCTAGGTACAGAATAACAAAGGCATCTAGAAACTAATTGTAAAAGCAACAATAGAATTCTTACAATTTCAGTGCCTGAGCATAGATGTGAATGAGTTCCCCATAGCAAGTGAAAGCTCCAGAAATGAGCCTGGAGACCTGGGCTGTATCCGCCATCCTCCAGCTGAGGCTTTCTGTGGTGCTGGGCAGAGGCGAATCAGGCCACTTGACCAACAGCTCCGGATGAGGAGCCTACTGCGAGGCCATCACCCCCTGGCAGGGCTCTGTGAGGCTGCCAGGCCTGGTCACCGTGCAGGGCCACACCCTCCTGCAGGTGGTGGTGTTGGGGGTGCTCCCACTTAAGCCTAGGCTGGAGATAACACGATGCAAAAAGAGCAGAGAAAAGAAAGACAGAGGCCCCGCAATGCTACTGAGAGGGCTGAGGCTTCGTGTCAGCCTTGTGATCCTCACTGGGAACAGGAATGGCAGGCGAGTGCATGTGAGGGCTTGTACATGATCGGGAGGTTTCACCGTCCATGTACTCTGTGTTGAGTACATGGTAAGGGTTAAGGGGATCGTGTTTTTAATGAAATAGTAAATTCCCAGGTTCAGACTTTCTTACACACTCTCACTGTCCACTTCCTCAGTACCAAACGTGCATACCAAGCTGTGCGATGCTCAGGGACGCTCTCACCTTCTCCGCACTTAACCCGAGGCTGCACATGGGAGCCTGAGGAAATAGGGGTCGCGCTGAGAGGGAGGCTCTGAGCTGCTGGTGAGTGGCTGCAGCACCTGCCCAGTGACTTCTGGTCCCACCAGAGGAGCAAGCCAGGGCCACCTGCTGCATCCAAGGAACCCTCCTTAGCTGAGCCAGGGCTCCTGGCTGCAGCCCCACCAGGTTAAACACACCCCGGAGACAGGGGACAACCAGCAGCATCTACATTGCTTTGGTTTCCTAGCTGGTTTAGCAGTTGTGGGGACTCCAAACTCTGTCACTGCAGGGAGGGAAGGTCAGGGAGCTTGGGCTCTGAGGGGCAGGGCAGGTGGGGGAGACCAGGGTTCCGAGGGTCAGGTGCGGGAGCCCGGGTTCCGAGGGGCAGGTGCGGGAGCCTGAGCTCTGATGGGCAGGTGGGGGCATGGTACCTGCCAACCCCACCTGTGGAGGCCACCACTTGCGGTGGTCTGTGCACCAGATGGTGCAGAGCCCTGAAGCTCCAGCTGCAGATCTTGGTTCCTCAGGGGTGCTGCACCCAGAGAGAAGACCAAGGACACAGCCAGCCCTCCTGTGTTCCCCACAGCTGCCACCCTGAAACCGTGGTCAGCACTCCATGATACTGCTGATTGGATGGCCCACCAGGGATCCCAGTGCTCCAGCAGGTGTGGGTGCCCTCCGACGCCCGCGAGAGCACAGGCCCAGGCAGTCTCCTTTCACTGATCTGGGGTGGAGACCGCTGAAGCTCCCACAAGGCCCTATGGTATGGCGAGGCTGAGTTTGTGGAGGACGGGAAGAGGCCATGCCATGGAATCTTCGGCCCTGGCCCTGCAAGTGGCCCAGGGACACTGCTGGACAGTGTGCTGTTTGTACAGCATGTTGATACACAAGAGTCTCCTTGTCTACTTTGGGGGCCAGGGACCCTGCGTCTGACGGGCATTCAGAACGACAGAGGCTACAGTGCGGCATAGTCGGCCGCCAGCAGGTCCACACCAGCTGGCTCCTCACGCACTCGGGCCAGGGAGCACAGCACGGGCTGCTGCACCGCAGCAGCCAGTGCCCTGAGTTCTGTACCCTAGGCCTCCCTGCCCACGGGAGCCGGCCCTGCAGAAGGCCTGCACTGGCCCGCCTCTTTGTCCGGGGGCTGAAGCTGGTTTATGAGCATGACTTGATTTTCTTAGTAAGTTTCATGAGGGAAACAGTGAATGTGCTTTATATTGGACCCTGAGAATTAATTCAGTCATTTGCAAAAACATTTCTGGAGTACCGACTATATGACTCTAGAGAATTCCAAAGCTAAAGGGAACCTAAGGAAGAGTCTAGTCTGTCTTATTTTAAACATGAGGAAATTGCGGTCCAAGCAAATGATCCGCAGAGGTCTCGCTGTGAGCCGATGGCAGAGGCAGGGTTCCCTATGCTCCTCCCCTCTAGCCCAGACATGGTCCCAGGAAGACGACTTTCTACAAGTTTAGCCTTGCCTTTGAGAGAGAGAAAACAAAACCAAAACCAAAAACCAAAACCAGTCCATTTTGCAAAGAAAGTCACTGTAAGAACAAATTTATGATGTGTCCTTATTCATTTCTTTCTTCCTTCCTTCGGTCACTCCTACCTGTGCCAAACCCCCGATCTCTTTGACGCAGACGTAGAGTCGGAAGAGATCCAAGGGCTTCTTGCCCACCGCAGGCAGACTGGAGACGGGGGAGCCCCTCTCCTCCATGAAGGTGAGGTACCGGTCAACCCAGAGCTTCCTCTCCGGCTCGTTGCCCAGCTCGTACACCTTCGTGATCTTCTCCCCAGTGGTAGTGGAGGAGCTGGACTTCTAGAGCCCAGGAGTGATATGTGGAGATGAGGTGGGGGTGGGCAGAGGGAAGGGAAAAAGGCGAGAAAAAAGTAATGAGCTAACGAATACCAGAAGAGAAGTGGTTAAAAACTACTGCTATCACACAACCATTAGGAACGAAGGCTACTAGTTCAGGCACAAATGATACATTCTCTTAATTAAGAATTCACTTGGACTTTAAATACGGGGCCCAAACTCCCCCTTTAAAACACTTAAAAAAGAAAGAACCAAAAATACCACAGCCTTTTCTTATACTGATATATGCGTTGAATCCCAGAAGGCAAGATTCCAATAATACCTCATGTCATTTTTTTTTTTTCTTAAATAAAAGAGTGCTAGCTCAGGACTGATGACGGCGATTTAAAGATTTTACACGTCATCTTGCAGAGCCCCCCAACTAAACAGACTCTACTCTTCCTTGTAAAAACAAAAACAGTCGGCTAAGTGTGCATTCACTGAAACTCCAAGTTCCTTCCCTGAAGGGAGAGCAAACGCTTGGTGTTCCTTAGAAACCTAGGGTGGGTCAGATCCCAAGGTGAGAGCGGATTGCTCCACGTCTGATCGAGAGCTCAGCTTGAAGTGATGGCCAGAGTCTGACAGCTCCTCAGGAGGATCGGCTTCCCCTACTTAAGACTTCTGCAACTTCTCTGTCAAGGGAACGGCTATTAGATAATTATTTTAATAGACTTTCTAATCTATGTCAAATAGAGGAAGAAACAGAGTCCACAGTTTAATCACGTGCTGGTTCGTATCTCTGCGTACCTACAGACTTTGCTGCACATGTGTTTACATGCTCATGTAATTTATTCTGATGCTCTGATTCTTGGTATTTCATGGGTCTGCTTATTCCAATTATCTGAAAAGGTCAGAAGCTGCAGTTTCTGCCCACCTGGGGCCCACCCTCTGGACTGCAAGGCGTGGGCAGGTTACACTGTGAGCATGAAACTCCTCATCTGTCTCTCTCTTTCCTTTATCTCTGTTTTCATGGTATCTGTGCTCTTGTTATCCTGGCAGCAGTGTGGTCACCGTGCAGGCACGTCTCTGCTCTCAGCAAAGATTTCCTCAGAATAATCCTTTACTTTGTCTATTCATGAGTATTGGTAAGGTTCTCATTTTAAAATATAGGTACAGCCATTAATTTAGACAGATCTCTTAAGTTTTTTCCTTTTCTTTATTTAGCTAAATACAATTTTAAACATTTCTGAATGTGTGTGTGGTAAGTAACATGACTGTCGTTGAGGCTGGATGTTTGTTTTTGTAAAAAAAAATTTTTATTGTTTGCTATAGGGCACATATGCAGAGACAGAGACAGAGACAGAGAGAGAGAGAGAATGAGAAATCGTCCCTAGTGGGGGAGACCGGTGGCCATCAAGCACTCCCTCAGAACACATATACCCAGTGTTTCTTTTTTCTTTTCTTTTTTTTTTGGAGAGGTTTTTGCTATAGGGCGCGTGTGCTCACCAGACAGACAGAGAGAGACATAGAGACAGAAAGCGAGAAATCACCCCCCCAGGGGGGATGGTCATGCCGCAATCCCTTCTCCTCCATTCTCCTCTCGGGATCTTGGGCACGCACGCACACGCGCCCGGCGTGAGTTCTAAGCCACCGGGTCCGGGACACGAACCATGGTCGACTACGTGGGAATCCAGCAACATAGCCATTACGCTAACTGCTGATTCCCTACCCAGTGTTTCTTAAACTTCCAGGTCTGGGACTTGAATCACACAGCTAGCCCCATGGGATGCAGCCACCTCCACCACGCCATCTACTGGCCCGTGGATGCTGCCTCGTGTATTAGCAGAAGGATCGCACAAGCCAGGGCTCTGACAAAGTATGCCGGAGAGTAAAACTCACAAGGCCTGTGAAGTGGCCACTTTCCTGCTCACTAGCATGTAATTCTCCGAAGAGATTTTGACAGACATTTTAAGCCTTCAGCTCTAGAATTATGAGGCAAAAAATCTTAGTATTAGATATACAAAAATGGGCAATACGGTTGATAAAAAAAGGTAGATGCTATGAGGAAAAAATAGCATGATCTTTAGAATTCACATTGGTGTTGAGGTTAAACTTCAAGTTACTTAAAAATTACTTTAGAGGGGGGCCAGCAGGTGACATGGAAGTTAAGGTGTGGGGCTCCCACATAGCTGACCATAGTTTGAGTCCTGGACCCAGCAGCTTGAAACTCACACCGGGTGTGCATGTGTGACCGAAATCCTGAGAAGAGAATGGAGGAGGAGGGACTGTGGCCTGGACATCCTCCCGGGGGGGTGGGGAGGAGTGATTTCTCACTTTCTCTCTCTCCGTCTCTCTCTGTGTGTCTCTGGTGAACACAACTGCCCTACAGAAAAACATCTTTAAAAATAAAAAAAGAAACACGTTTAAAAAATTATTTTAGATCTATAGCTTAAAAATATACATATAGGGACCACCATATAGCATAATGGTTAAGTTGTGGGTCTCCCAAGTAGTCGACCGTGGTTCAAGTACTGAACCTGGTGACTTGAAACTCAGGGTAAGTGCGTGTGCATGCGTGCCCAAATCGTGAGAGGAGAATGGAGGAGAAGGGATTGTGGCATGCTCATCCCCCCTGGGGGGTGATTTCTCGCTTTCTGTTTCTCTGTTTCTTCGGTGAGCTATACCCTATGTACACTCAGAATATGGGAAATAGTATATATACAAATGGTTTCCTATGTATTTATGCTGAAAGAGTACCTGACTAGAAAAAACTGTTCTAAAGACACTACACCAAGTTCTCATATGATAACACCACTCCAGAAGATCTGCCAACATTAGCAGGATTGTTGTTATCAGGAAGTTTCTAAATCCTACTGCTGAATTCTTTTAGGTGAGGAATACTAAAAAAAAAAAATGAGTTCATTGTTTTCCAAAGGTGAAAGTTTGAAATAACGACACGAGGAAAAAAGTGCTACCATCTATAATCAACTTAAATAAAAAATAAACTCCCTTGCATTTCAT